GGGTTTTTATTCGGCCAGAGGGCATGTCCAACGCTCAAGATTATTTTGCAGAAATTGAGGTTGGGGATAATGAAGTATTAGACAAGTTGCGTAAACTAAAGGCAGATAAGGAGGCAGATCCTGATGGCTTATATCCTAGAGTGCTCAGGGAAGTTAGTGAGATCATCTTTAAACCGCTCTCTGCTATCTTCAGACGGTCTTTAGAAACTGGAGAAATACCAAATGATTGGAAGCAGGGCAATATAATACCAATATATAAGAAAGGGGACCGTACTGAGCCAGGAAATTACAGGCTGGTCAGTTTAACTTGCATTGCATGCAAAATACTGGAATCTATCATAAAAGACAAGCTGGAATTATTCCTTGAACGTAATAATATTTTGAGGGATAGCCAACATGGTTTCCATAAGGGAAGGTCATGCCTGACAAACCTCCTGGAATTTTTTGAAGAGGCCACCAAGACTTATGATCAGAGCAGGGCTTATCACATCATATACTTGGATTTTCAGAAAGCATTTGATAAAGTACCGCATAAGAGACTAATTTGAATGAATGAGCTCCATTGAGCTTCATTGGAGTTACAGGAGGTATTCTGGAGTGGATTCAAAACTGGTTACAGGACAGAACACAAAGAGTGGTGGTCAGTGGAATCTCATCACAGCTAGGTATGGTGGGGAGTGGCGTCCCTCAGGGATCAGTGTTGGGACCCCTGCTGTTCCTCATATACATTAATGACGTTGATAGAAATATTGAAATACTAAATTGGGAGGTTTGGCAAATAGTTTAGACTCTACGAAAGTGATTCAGGAGGATTTGGATAGAATCCAGAGTTGAGCAGAAATGTGGCAAATGAAATTTAATTTAGCAAAATGTAAAGTTGTACATGCAGGTAATAAAAACATTAGACAGGATTACTTCATGGGAGGTTTAAAACTGGAATGTGCTCCACATGAAAAAGATCTAGGAGCGATTGTTGACCAAACCCTCACAGGTTCTAGTCATTGTGCCGTAGCAGTTAAAAAAGCCAATCGGATGCTGGGATACATTGCCAAAAGTATTGAGTACAAATCCAAGGAGGTGATACTTCTCTTGTACAACACATTTGTCAGACCACATCTGGAGTATTGTGTACAGTTCTGGGGACCATACTTTAAGATATAGAGGCTCTGGAAAAAGTTCAGAGAAGAGCAACTAAGCTGATTCCGGGTATAAAAGATGAAAGCTATGAGAACAGGCTGAAGATCCTTAATCTCTTTAGTCTTAGGAAAAGGAGACTAAGGGGTGATCTGATTGAGGTCTTTAAATATGTTTAAGGGATTAACAAAGTGAATTATGTAGGAATCCTTTGGCTAAGTTCTGTTAGTAGATCTCGGGGTCATAAATGGAAGTTGACCAAGGGTAAATTTAGCACTGATATTAGGAAATATTTTTCACTCAAGGAGTAATTTTGATGTGGAATAGCTTGCCTGACCATATCTTTGAGGCAGAAACCTTGGCAATTTTCAAGAGCAGGCTTGACTTAAAGCTAGATACCATTGAGACATTGAGTATCTGAAGTGATATATTCACAATAGTTAAAAGAAACTGGCGAGCCTAGTTGGGCTGAACGGCCTGTTCTTGCCACTCATGTTATGTTATGTTATGTTATGTCATTGATGCAGTGAGTAGTTTCTCAATTTTTAACAACCATGTTGGAAGATGTATTCTGTGGTCGTGGAAAAGATGTTACTCTGTTTCAGAAGGATCAAATTATTGGCCTACATCAAGCAAAGAAAACAACCAAGGAGTTTGCTGAAACTACTAAAATTAGCTTTAGAACTGTCCAACATACTAGTAAAACCTGGAAAGATAGTGGTGAACCATCCTCTTCAAGGAAAAAATGTGGTCCAAAAAAATCTTGAATGATTGTGATCAGAGATCACTAATGCATTTGGTGAAATCATAAAAAATCAACAGTAGAATTCACGGCTTTGTTTAATAGTGAAAGTAAGAGCATTTCCACATGCACAATCCAGAGAGAACTCAAGGGATTGGGACTAAACAGCTGTGTAGCCTAAAGAAAACCATTTCTCAGTTAGAATAATTGGGAAAAAGGCTACAATTTGATAGGAAGCATAATGATTGGACTCCGGTGCAAAAGAAAAAGGTCATGTGGTTTGATGAATCCAGATTGACCCTGTTCCAGAGTGATGGGCACATCAGGGTAAGAAGATTGGGGGAAAATGTGATGCACCCATCATGCCTAGTGCCAACCTGAAAAGCCTGTGGGGGCAATATTATGATCTGGGGTTGCTTCAGTGGGTCAGGTCAAGGTTCAGCTATGATATGTACACAAAAATGAGGTCAGCTGACTGCCTGAATATACTGAATGACTGAATGACCAGGTTTTTCCATCAGTTATTTTTTTTCCCCCTGATGGCACGGGCATATTCCAAGAGGACAATTCCAGGGTTCACTGGGCTTAAATCATTTTCGCACATGAATTGGATTTCACACAAGTCCTGATCTTAACCGCATTCAGAATACAATGGGATGTACTGGCAAAGACTTTACGCAGTGGTCCGACTGTCCCATCATCAATACAAGATCTTGGTGAAAAACCTATGAAACCCTGGACAGAAATAAATGTTGTGACGTTTGCATAGGCTCACAGAAACAATGCCACGGCGAATGCATGCCGTAATCAAAGCTAAAAACGGTCCAACAAAATATTACAGTGTGTGACTTTTTCTTTGGCCAGGCAGTGTTTATGCAGCAGCCTTCCCATTTTACTCTGACTTTATGATTTTCACCAAAGCTTCGTATCAGCTATCGTTTTTGTGACCTATATCACTGTTTTTCATTTCTATGGCAGAGCTCTGACACTGTTCACAGCGGCTTTTCAATATTGCTTATGTAGTTTGGTTTTATCTTCTAGTTGTGCCTTCTGAATGTTGTGCAAAAAGGTCAACTTTCTTAAAAATCATTCAGTCTTTTAATGCAGGGCAACATAAACTGCTGAATGTAGGTCAAGGAAACCAATGCTCATATTAAAATTGACCTACCGCCACTACAGGACAGTTTATGTGCCCTTTGACTCATGACCTTGACCTCAGTTTTGTTTCTGGTGAATATCTCTCAAATTATTCGCAGTGGTCCTTCCAAATTGCTTTTCAGTCCCACGCCACTCAACTCTTTGTATTTAGGTTATGCTATAAAACAACTCATTATGATGAGGTCCAGAATTGGGGGTTAATTTGGAGGAGGATATTGGGAGAAATAGCATTACTATATTTCCAGCAATGAAAGAGACACTTCTCTATAGTTGCAAGTATTCACATTATGAAAATACTTGTCCAAAATACATTCTGTGGAAAGTCACAAAGTGAGACATCCAAAACAGCCATTGGTTGGCATTGTGGAAACCTGTAGGTTGAGCTTGAATAGTGCTCAAAGTCATGTTTTATAAAAGATAATAGAAATTCACTCATTTGACATGCTCTGCTGCTCTCTAGTTTATCAAAGTAAATGTGAAGCACTGCATTAAAATAAATTAGTAGCATCCAGATGGATATTTTGACCTTTCTGAATGATGGCTGAGGTGGTGTCAGGTAGAAATATTGAAATCTGTCTGTTAAGGCCTGTAGTACTGCTTTTGTCTTGTATACGGTTGTTATTTGGTAAGTTAGTGTTAATCATTGGCCGAATACTCACCTGGAGTTTCCTGATTCGATGAAAAGAGCAAAAGCTGGCAGTATTTTAGCTAGCAGGTCATGGATATGTCATCATTATGTGTCTAATATACAGTCTCCCACTTTGGTAGTGTTCTAAAATGCTATAGTGCCTCTGCTAAATTGTACTTGCTCAGGATACCAATTACAATTGAGAAATAACTAAAAATAGCTGAAATAGCCTCCCTTCCCAGCATCTTCGTCAATTATGAATGACATTGTGCATCTATACCTGTGTAGTCTGACACGTTATAAGACCTACAACCTCAAACCATCTGGCTCGTATATGATCATGCCTTTTCTGACTGCTCATTTTATACCTTGTCAAAACTGAATCTCCTGCTGCCAATTCATCTGTTAATTGGAGGAATATTCCAAATGGGTGTTTTTTTCTAAATGTAATGGGTTGGACGTGATTAACCCATTTTAGAGAATGCAGTTTTCTTAAGCCACAAGGTGAAGGTCTCATCGGCCCAAATTAATAAGAACCACTGCCAATGTGTTGATTGCTATTTGAATTTTGAGGACACTGTTGTTAACATTGCAGAGGCTAGGGACAGACAGGTAACAGACATCCCCAAACCAATTATGGGGTGAAATTTTAATTGTTGGTCGAATGTTATGTTTTACATGTGGATCACGCTGACATATTTTAAATTACGTTGGATATTAAAGTGTTTGATTGTTTCAATGTAGAGTCATCCATGAGATGGAATGGTGTGCAGTGGTGAAATTTTTCATCTAAATCATAGCTCTGGGTCAGGTTAGGCTTGCTTTTAATGTGAAACCATAGCTTACAAACAGTAAAAGCTATGTATGGATTTTAAGGAGAGTTTCTCATGTATGTACTACGAATGACTGAGCTTTGTAATTTAGTTGATCTGATGGTGGATCTGCTGTCACAATTGCTGTGGTTCCTGAAGTCTGGATCTATGCAATCCCGTTACCTTATTATATTCTCTCCTTTTATAAGATCCTGGCCAATGGCTAACTCCATATTTTGTATCCCGTCTTTAAAGTGCCGTACGTGTAAATCGCCTCTGTGCTTTGCTTGGTTTCTACCCTTTGGCTCCATATACTGAGCATTTTACCAATGATAACTTTGTCCCAAAGGACCTTCCCTCTGTTTAATTACAAAAAAAAGTGGTGTAATTGATTTCTGGTTTTAGAGTAGATTTTATTACATGAAGATTTCACAAATTCTCCAGTCTTTCCATTCCCTTGTCCAAATTGATTTGGGTCGTGCTGCAGGCATCAAATTCAGAATCCACCAATATATACTGTTTGGACGGCACGGTGGCGCAGTGGTTAGCTCTACTATCTCACAGAAAGAGGGTTGTAGGTTCGAATCTGGCCAGGGGCCTTTCTGTGGGTGCATTTTCTCCCTGCGCTTGCGTGGGTTTCCTCCCACAGTCCAAAGACATACATGTCAGACTAACTGGAGATGCTAAATAGCCCATAGTATGAGCGTGAGAACAAATGGTGTGTGAATGGAGTGTGCGCCTTGCGATGTATTGGCGAGCTGTCCAGGGTGGGTCCCTAGCTTTCGCCCAGAGTCAGGGTCCAGCTCCCCTGTGACCCTAGTGAGGGAAGAGCAGCATAGAGAATGGATTGTGATGTTTTCAACTAAATTTTAGTAAAAGAGAATTTACAAACCTATCATTCTGCTTTTATTTTCATTTTACATACAACCCCAATTCTAAAATAGTTGGGACAAAGTGTAAATTGTGAATAAAATCAAAAAGCAATGACTTTCAAATCACACCAGCCAGTATTTTATTCACAATAGAACAGAGATAACATAGCAAATGATGAAACTGAGAAATTTAACAATTTTATCCACAAAATGAGCTCATTTCAAATTTGATGGCTGCAACAGGTCTCAAAAAAGTTGGGACAGGGGCCTGTTTACCATGGTGTAGCCTCCCCTCTTCTTTTTAACACAGAGTGGAGGCGTCTGGGCATTGAGGAGACAAGTTTCTTGAGTTTAGCCATTGGAATTTGATCCCACTCTTGTTTAATACAGGCTTCCAGGTGCTGGAGAGTTTTGGGTCTCCTCTGACGGACTTTTCGTTTAATTATGCGCCAAATGTTCTCAATCGGTGAAAGATCAGCACTGCAGGCAGGCCAGTTCAGCACGCGGACTCTTCTACTATGAAGCCATGCTGTTGTAATAGCTGCAGTATGTGGTTTTGCATTGTCCTGCTGAAATACACAAGGTCTTCCCTGGAATAGATGTAGTCCGGAGGGGAGCATATGTTGCTCTAAAACCTTTATATACCTTTCAGCATTCATGGCGCTTTTTAAAACATGCAAGTGTCCCACACCATATGCACTAATACATCCCCATACCATCAGTGATGCTGGCTTTAGAACTGAACGCTGATAACAGGAGGGGTGGTCTTTCTCCTCTTTAGCCCAGAGGACATGACGCCCATGATTTCCAACAAGAATGTAAAATTTGGACTCGTCTGACCACAGGACACTTTGCCACTTTGCTACAGTCCATTTTAAATGAGCCTTGGCCCACAGAACACGGCGGCGCTTCTGGATCATGCTCAACAATGGCTTCCTTTTTGCATGATAGAGTTTTAGGTGGCATCTGTGGATGGCACGGCAGACTGTGTTTACAGACAGTGGTTTCTTGAAGTATTCCTGGGCCCATTTAATAATGTCAATGACAGAATCATGCTGGTGAGTGATGCAGTGGCGTCTGAGGGCCCGAAGATCACGGGCATCCAGTAAAGGTCTTCGGCCTTGTCCCTTACGCACAGAAATTTTTCCAGTTTCTCTGAATCTTTTGATGATGTTATGCACTGTCGATGATGAGACCTTCAAAAACGTTACAATTTGACATTGAGGAACATTGTTTTTAAAGTATTCCACAATTTTTTTACGCAAGCCTTCACAGGGTGGAGAGCCTCTGGCCATCTTTACCTCTGAGAGACTCAGCCTCTCTAAGACTTCCCTTTTATGGCCAATCCTGTAACACACCTGATGCCAGTTAACTTAATTACTTGCTAAATGTTCTTTCAGCTGATTCTGTTATAGATTAATTGCTTTTTCAGCCCTTTTTTTGCCAGTTTTCCAACTTTTTTGAGACCTGTTGCAGCCAGAAAATTTGAAATAAGCTCATTTTGTGGATAAAAATATCAAATGTCTCAGTTGCAACATTTGAAATGTTATGTATGTTCTATTGTAAATAACATTGGTTCATGTGATCTGAAAGTCATTGCATTTTGATTTTATTCACAATTTACACTTCGTCCCAACTATTTCAGAATTGGGGTTGTACTTTCCCAGTTCTTGTGGATTTGAGATTGTTGTCACAACCCTCATTTGAATGCCTCCTGTGTCCCATCCCATTCAGCAACTTGTGTATCTATTAGAAGTAATGTGTCCCTTAATTAGTTTGCTTCTTGCGTGCTTCCTAATCTCCGGCTGTGTCTGGTTTCATCGTTCACACTCCTTGTATCTGTGATGTGTTTTTATGCCCCCTCCTTTGAGTTGCAAGTTGCTGGAATGTAATTCGCTGTGTGTGCTCAAACCCAGTCAGTGTTCCCAAGAATTACTTCATATTTTGAAAGTAAAATGGAACCTTTAATGATACCTACCTCCCTCATTTTGTTTATAAGAACAAGCTCCCAAGCCTTCCTCAAGGATCCTGGGCTTGGGATCACGTTCTTGTTTATCCTGTCTGAGTTGTTCCTCTGTCCATTTTATTAGGAACAAATTCCCAATCCTTCTATGGTTATCTGGATTATAACCACGTTCCACCTAAGCTAATCCTTCCTGATTTGGGACGGTTCAGCTCCGGAAAAGTGTCTTCACTCTCATAGTGCAACTTCTTAAATGAGATGTTCGTTTGAGTTCATCCATCAGGTAATCTCTCTGGAGTGCACTCAGGTCATATAACCACTTCATTAAAAAAAAAAAAAAAACCCGACCAAGATCCTGAAAAATTTTATGGCATTATGATTGTTAAATTTGGCAGGGTGACCATTGTCAAAGACAAAAAAATTGTAGCCATCTTCCCTTCAGTGTTGTGGGTTGAAGGGCTTGGGTGTCAGAATTCAAAATTCCTCAGCAGCAATGCTTCAGATGTGCTCTTTAGGAAAGACTTTTTTTAAGTGTAGAAACATATATTTTTTAAGAACTTGTCAAATGGAGCAAAAAGGGGCTTCTTTGATTGCGGACCTGACGGTGGCATGCAGGGGATGTGTTGTAGCCCACTCAGGAACCCACTTTTCCAGTCCTCCAGATACAAGCCATTAATTACTACTAACTCTGAAATAGGAGCATCTTACCAGGCTTAATTTTGCTGACTCCCAAACAGCTAAGCACTCATCAAAGACATAGCTCAGGTGGTGGGGGTGTTTTTTTTTTGGCATGAAATGTGCAAGAGACAGGCATAAAATATATACACAAATCTGGATTACAAAGAACCAGGATGAATTTGTTCCAAAATTAAAAGTGACCAATTAGCTCTCTGGTTGACAGTGTTCTACCAACATCCATCCATGAACAAAAATTGAAGACATTTTTGGCTTGGCCGCACAGGCTCACTATTTTTCTCACTCGCTCTCTCCCTCACCCATTTCGCTCATTCTATTCCTCACTCGCTCTGTCACAATGTCTGTTTCTCTCTCTTCATATATCTCCTCAGGACAGAAAGGATTGCAAAAGTGTGTCGGGCCTCACATAATACCCTTTATCTCACCCTTTCAGCTCAGGTGAGCTGTAAGTTTGCAATGAGTATGGTGGACATATTTAATGCCGATAGATGTGGAGAATATACATGAACAGACATGTACACAAAAGTTTACGGGCAAATTTCTCTCAGGCCATAATACTGATTTCATCCTTGACACATTCTGTCTAATCCACCTGCATGTTAAAGGTAAAGACCTCACAGCTGTTGCAGATGAATTCTCACTGACTATTTCAAGCTCCACCAGTGAAGTTCCCTCAAGTGTTGGACCAGTGAGCATAGCTGGTGCTCAGTCAAATACATAGATATGTCATTCATCCTGATGCTCTTCTTTTTTGCTTCCCACACAGCAGAATGCAGGACACATTTCCCATACTGGAAGTACAAGCATTTTTTGAGAGTCAATCAATTATTTAAATTTTTCAGATTCTTCAAAAGTTTCTTGTCCTGGTTGTGGTGGTCCCCTTCTGCCCAGATCTATGATCAGAGTTACAGTCTGAGACATTACTGGTCAAAGTTTAGCCAAAAACTATAGCAGGGGAATTAACTGAATTCAAATGAAATTTATTCGCCAGAAGTAAGAAGCTTCATTAAAAAGGTGAATCAAATTTTAAAAGCATCACTGCTTTAATTGTCAACTCAATGCTCTTAAATATTAGATCAAAATCATTCTGATGATGTAAGACCACAGCAGAGCACTGGGGCCCCAAACAAAATATGTGATTTATTGAACAGATTAAATATGGATGTTGACTGTGAATTCATTCATGCAAGTGGAAGATCAGATCTTTAGAAGTCCAGATAGACAATTTGGAAGTATGAATGTAAGTAATTTATAGACACGCTCAATGAAATAAACATCAGAAACTAAGCCATCTGTCAATCTTGGCTCATCATTTCTGCATGGAGAGGAGAGATAAGTGGACTGTGTTGAAATTGAAATGGCAAGCTACTTATTACAGCTGCTGGTTTGCCATTTCCTTTGTTAAGAAGCCATGGGTTGCAAAACTGGACTAGATTTAAATATCAAAATGTGAATACAAAGATGGAATATTAGAATTTTGAAAGTAAATACAAAAATCTTGAATGAGATGTGAATATTACATGAATCTTGTATTTTCTTTCAGCTCATTTATGCCTTTCTATTGACCATTTTAATTGCAAAGTAAAAAAACTCCCCCATCCTCCCCTTATACACTGACCATTGATTTTACATGAAAATAGCAAAAAAAAAAAAAAAGAGAGAGAGAGATAAAAAAATATAAAATGAATGAGAATTTAATGTGAAAATGCCCTCAGTTTTAGGCAACACTATAAAAACAAGATCAAAATGTTGGTTATATAAAATAATAGATCCTGGGGTCAAAATGACCCTAACAACACCAATGCCCACAACATCTATACAGGACATACAATAATTTTTTTTTTGAGTTAATTTCATATTTTACCCATAAAGTTAGGGAAAAAAAATCTAGCTACAAAAAGAAAAAGAAAAAGGATGCTCGAATTTTCCATTCAAATTAATATGAATCACCTGTGTAGATACTTTTGTGGTTTAGATGTTTTAAAGGCCATGGTTACACTTGTCTTGCCAACTCGAATCTTGTTGACCAATCATGCCACGATGTTTTAACCATCGAGTCTGTACACTC